ATTTTAAAAAAGTAAATCAGAGCTAAAAAAGTGCAAAAATGCAGGCAAATTTGCCTGCGTTGGTCTACATATTAAGGAATAATATTGTATCTATATAATGTAATTCTTCTCCATATTAAATATATTGCATATTCATTCCATTGTTTATTAACATATAACTGGTGATAATAATTCATTATTAGTACACTGCGAAGCAGGACACTTCGTGTTTAATATATCATTTTGTGTTCGTAAATATTGAAATATTTCTATTATAATTTCATTTGGAAGATTTATATCAGACCTTTTTAATGGTTTCCTTTTTACTGTCTATAAGACAGAATACTCTGTATCTAACTTTGTATTTTGCTCTTTATTTTGTATTTTTCCAAAATCTAATAAACTATTTGTAGTGCGAAGCTTATTTTCTTCAAAAATAGTCAAATTTGGAATTTCTGGATATGATGGTTTACATGTAACTGATATACAATTTTTTACTACACAAACTCCTCTTTTCTCTAATTTTAGCTCACTCATTTCTATTCCCATTTTAAGTTCTACTTTTTCAGCTACAATAAAACCATCTGTATGTATACATTTTACTTGATCTCCTAGTGGTTTTACAATTTCTGATATTCTTTTTCGTACTGATGCTAATAAAAATAGTTTTATTCGTGAGTGTGTACCATAATTTTGCCCATTTCTTTGCTCACATAAGACACCCTATAATGAAACTAATAATGCTTTATTTACTTTTCCAGCTATTCCTCCTTCTTTCTTAATATTATATAATATATTTCCCCATTTACCAAACATGTCTCTTCCACTAATATGAGTATTTTTTTTATATATAAGTGCATTTGGTGATTCATTCATTAAATATACTTTCAATCTATTTTTTTTAGCACATTCTAAATCATAATATATATAAATTCTATATGGATTATATCGCAAATATCTTGTACATTGAAGGCTTTTCTTTGAAGGATTTCCTTCTATTGTTGCTTTATAAATTCCATACAGAAATTTACCTTATTTTTTAGCAAAAGTTGAATTTATTATATAAAATTTACCTTGTGCAAAAAGCCATGATGCCTCTTTCTTTAACATTTCATATATATACATTGAGTTTATGTCATATTGAATATCTTCTTTTTCATATCTTTCAGCAAATACTAAAGCACCTGTTGATGCTAAATTTAACCAAGTATTTTCTTTTTTATTTACTTTTTCGCTTCTTTTTGATACTAAAGTAGTTTCTCTAAAAAGTTTTAAACTTGTTAATATATAATTTCCAGATTTTCGCATATCAACTTGTCTATTTGTTTTTTCTACTATAGTTTCTGATTCTTTGATAATTCTTTTATAGGCTTCTATAGTTGTTTCTTTTAAATCTGATTTAATAAAATAGTACTTGTTAGATAAAGTACAAAAATCTTCTTTAACACCATACCATTTTTTTTTTCCATCATAAAACTCAAACCCATTTGCTATATTTTTATGAATTAAGATAGTTTTATTGCAAAGCAATGAGGCTCTGCCACTATCTTGGTAGTTTATGATATTTTGCTTTGAAGTAGATCTTATCCCAGGGTCGACTACCAGCGCGCTTGCCTCTCTCGGCTAGGTTGGTTGGTGCGTTAGTGGGTTTTCATTGAACAAAATGAGGTCGCCTTTGAAATGGATACTGGGGCTTGGTTTTGCATCGAAATTGGATTTTCAGCTGGTGTCGCATTTTGCACCGGGGTTGGGTTTTCAGCTGGATTTTTTACTGGAACTGGGTTTTGCATTATAAGCAAAGCTGGTTGGCATTGTCCTTTACGAAGATTTCCATTTAAATTCATGTGTTTATTAAGATCTTGAGTTTTATCAGTTCTTATTTCTTGATTACAACCTGGATATTTAAGTATCTTAGCTATAGTAATATGTTTTTTCAGTGTTTTTTATTAATATACCAGATCTTTTGTTTAAATAAAAAATAATTATTCATTTATTGAAATGTTTAATGAATATATCGAGGAAGGTAAATATATCAAAAAGTCAGGGGGTAAATATATATGCGAATATATACACAATTCTGGAGAAGTCTGTGGACGTGAGTGTCAACATCCTGAAGGGTACCATGAACATTGGAAATTTAAAAAACGTGTTTTATGTAATGATTGTGGAAAACCTACAGCTTCTGCTTGTGGACGTTGCAAAAAACATTCTAAAGGATATTATGTCATACAATTTTATACTCGACAACTTCAGATACTTGAAGACCACCCATGACTCTTCGAGTCATCCTTCGGGCCTGCATGACAATAAAATTTAACTATCTTTTTTACCATAAAAACCTAATTGATAACTAAAAGATTACTATGCTCCACTTCGCTCTACAACTACGTCGCTTACACCTAAGGTGTATACTCCTTAGTGTTAAGAAACTAATTGTGAATTAAACAGATAACTAATGCTATGCTACGTTTTGCATTCAGAGTCGCTATGCTTCTCCAGTACAAAAAACTAAATAGAAATCAAATATGATAACTATGCTCCACTTCACTCCGCAACTGCGTCATACACCCTTAGGGGAGTGTGCTCCTTAGTAATAGAAAGCTAAATAGTAATCGAAATAGATATCAAAAAAGTACACCAAGCGTAAAGTATATATAAAAATACACTATTCATATAAGTTTTTTATATATTATATATAAGTTATATAAGTTATCAAGAATACGATAAAAACTTAAAAAAAAAACAAAAATGAATAGTATTATTAAAAAAAACACAACCATGTACCTAAAAAGCCCACTATTCTAATACTTGAGTTTAATAATTTATCGCCATAGCGATATATCCCCAGTCTATGCGGAGTTTGAAATTTTGATGATTTGTAAGCAAAATTTCAAACTTAGTCCATGCGAAGATTGAAATTTTGCTTACAAATTATCAAAATTTCAAACTCTGTATAGACTGGCGATATATTGTTATGGTAATAAATTATTAAACCTGAAGTTTTTTTATATTTTATACAACTTATTTGAATTTATTTAATTTAATTATTCAAATTCTAAGTCAAAATACATTCGATTCGAATGTACAAAATGCATTTATATCGAGGTTCAAATTTATTTAATACACGTATAAAGCTTCAAATTTTATTTAATATATGTATAAAGCTTCAAATTTTATTTAATACACGCATAAAGCTTTAAATTTATTTAATATACGTATAAAGCTTTAAATTTTGTTTATTACACATATAAAGCTTTAAATTTGAATTTAATACTACCAATAAAAGGTGTTTTTGTTACGTCTACTTCAAGTTTTTGGAAGCTTTTTTGCTTGCTTGAAATCTTTAATATTATCTGAATAGGTTTAAGGTTTGATTCAATACTTCGAAGCCTTTTTTTTTGTTTGGAAAGATTATTGGACTTTTCAAAACAATCAAGTATCTAAAACATAAAATAATAAATATATTTATTTAAACACAGAAATATAATGATAAAAAAAAAAAAAAAAAAAAATTCTTTTATACTTCATGAAGAGTTTTTTTGTACTTTCTTAAAATTTCTGATTCGGATTCACTACCGTCAGTACTCGATTCCTCATTATCTATATTCTGGTTTTCTTAATTTACTAGATTAATCGTTAAGTTGACTTGTGTATAATCAATTAAGGTCGATGTTCAAATATTTTTCTATAAAGTTTCTTTAGCTTCTATAATCAAAGGATATTGAGAGTTTCGTTGTACCTGAATTAATATAATATTAGATTTAGAAAAATTTTTTTAAACCATATTCATTAGCTGTTTGGAAAATATCTACGATCTATAAGCATATTGCTTTCTTCTTCAAAATCCATAAGTTTTTCATAAACTATATATTCAAGCTCTTTTAATTTTATGATATTTTTTTTTTGCTTGTGAATATCGTTTAAAATTCGACCCTCATGTTTCCGTTTTTGGCTTTCATTTATGCATGATTTATTATTAATTTGAAATTCATTAATTGGTTTCGTAATTTGAATGAATAAAGTTTTGTAAGAGGTGTATATTCCATTTCGGAAAATAATACGATATCCAAAGAAATAAAAAATTTTAACGTTAATTATTATTATTATTCATATATATATATTTATTTATTTTATTATTAATTAAATGTCATCATTATTATTAATTTTAATGCGGCAATAAATTTAAGCTCCGTAATATGTAACTGATCATAGTGGCGATACTAGGTGGTCATCTCTCGGGTCTTAGCGATCAGTCGGGGTAATTATGCGAATAAAATTAATATGTTATTCGGTGATTAAGGAAAAGAATAAATGATAAAATCATAATATTAATTATGATATAATTAATTTAGAGTTGAATTTATATATGTTGTGCCCTAGACTAACGCTTACCTTAGATCACAGCTGACACAAACCAGAGAACCGATCACGACCACGACACTAACCAATCAAATAAATAATGAAAATAATCAATTCGTGATCCATATCAGAACCAGTATTGATTTTGGAATCTGAAGGATAACTTATATTATAAGCAAAGCTTTACCTTTAATTATATATTTTTTTGCCATCACCACTTCTATCAAAGACGAATTACAATCTTTAGGCCATATTAAGTTAAATATCGCTTATCTACGCTAACTTGTCAATTAACTTCTATAAAATGAATTAAATAAAATTATTTAAACATGAAAATTTTTATACCACAACACTAAAGATCTTTGGTATTGTTACTAGCAAGAAAATTAAAGGATCTGTTAAATATAACACGAAAATTTTCACAATACAATAACTGAAACTAGTCTTGCATTCTTTGTCCCATACTGCACATGGTTTTATATTTTTACGTGGTCTATTAGTTAAAATTGATGAAAATAGGTTTTTAACAAGATTAGAGATGCTAGAAAATCATATGTTTAAGAAAAAGAAGTAAAACTAGCCACAAAGCCTTATTTTTACATGGTCTACCTTCTAACATTGCCATTAGCAAGAATTTTGAATCGGTCTTAGTAAGTATCAAGCAATAGTTTGTGTGGGTGGGGTGATATAGAAAAGCCAAATGTTCGAACATGGAACATTTGGAGGAAGTAAACATAGAAAAGAGGAAGCGAACATAGAAAAGGGCCAAACATGGAACATTTAGAGGAGGATGTTAATATAGAAAAGAGAAAATGAACATAAAAAAGCCAAAAGTCCACTGCCAATTGGGTCGAACATGGAACATTTGGAAGTAGTGAACTCAGTTTGCCACCGCCAATTGGGACTATACATGACAAACTGGCTTTTTCATCAGAGAATCCAACAAAGGACTCTTGATGACAAATCTTCTCACTGCCAATTGGGTCTATACATAAGTAGATTTGGGCAAAGTTTACATTTCTAGTTTGCTACCACCTATTGGGTCTGTATATGACAAACTGTTATTTTCATTCGCCACTTAAGAAATAAAATGGATTTGCATGAATATAGAAAAGCCAAAAGTCCACCGCCAATTGGGTCGAACATGAAACATTTGGAGGTAGTGAACTCAGTTTGCTACTGCCAATTGGGACTGTACATGACAAACTGGCTTTTTCATCAGGAAATCCAACAAAGGACCCTTGATGACAAATCTTCTCATCACTAATTGGGTCTGTACATAAGTAGATTTGGGCAAAGTTTATATTCCCAGTTTGCCACTGCCTATTGGGTCTGTACATAGCAAACTGTCATTTTTATACCATTTAAGTTGATCTGATGCGTACTCCCACCTAATATTTTTAAATAAAATAGTTTTATGTATAGATATAAGGAAGCCTGGAAAAAGTAATCATTTTATCAGTCTGTATAATGTACTTCATGTTATTTTTAATTTTTCACTATCAGCTATGTACTCGCATCCAGTGATGTAAATTCCAGCTAGGGTTTTCTTGTGTTGGATTTCTTCCAGGTTGATTATTTGGTAGACTATGCTTTGTTTATCCTGGATAGTGGCTAGTACATTATTTTCTAGCTTTTTAACGATTACTTCTTTAAAAAGTTTGTAAGAATTAAGGTTGCTATCTCAGGCTACATCAGCTAAAAAGAGGATATACACAGTAGGTGTAGCGCACTTTGCACATATTTTGTTGAAGATAATTGGCACTTTGTGCGTATTATAATTTTACTTTAAATATATAAAAAACTTTTTGCACATATTTTAAATATAATTTTAAAGTTTGCACCAATAAAAATTCTTGGAATTTATAACACTGCTCACGTCCCGAATTTTTTATAGTATATTTTTTTTAGTCGTGTTCGGAAAAGATGCATTCTTACTTCATCTTAGTTGAAGGTGATTTCTGGAATTTAAACATTATATCGACTAGATTATAAAGAATGAAAGTGAATTACCATTATGGAAAGCATGTTTGGCTATCTTTTACAGCTCATTAGAATTTATATTTAGCTATAGATCGTTTCTACAACTCGAACATATTGCTGCTAAAAAAATCCTAAAAGCTAGAGAGGTGAATGTAATAACTATATACTGATCTATTGCTTTGATTGGCTACTTATAGAATCTTTCATAAATCAGCTTCCTGAAACTGAGAAACTTACAGAAGACCTTCAAATACCATACGAACAGGTGTACAACAGAAAATATGGAAAATCTATTTATAAAGTTGGTTGATGCTGAGGCATTGATTATAATTAATATTTCATACTAAACTTATATGCATTATTTATCTACATTAGACTCTAATGCATGTGCAACAGGAAAAAGATATATTTGTTTTAGCGAGCAAAAAGATACAAATGAAAAAAGAAAAGATATTTTCTTGATTTGAAAAAACATTTATTTGTAAATACACTCATAGTACTTTCATTTATTATCTAAATATAGGTTCAGGGCGAAGAGTGTGTCACAAAAAATAAGAATAGCCTTCTTATTTCAGTGAGTTAAGTTTGTTTTTATTTTATCAGATATAAGGTTTGATTAATTTGATCAATATTGCTATATTCGTGCTATAGGAGAAATTGGAATTCTTTTCAATTGATTATAACAAAGAAAAAATTGATGAGGATAAATTCAATGTCACAGATAAAAATATTTTTACAGAAAGGTAATATCTTTTTTTGTGTGTTCTTGCTCTATTAGTCAAATAACTGATCAAACTTAGATTTAACATAATGGAAATTTGAGAAAATGGAAGTTAGAGTCAGAAAGGTTTGCCGAAAATGTGCTCTATGAGCTTGGAATGAAATGTCGATACTACAAGTAAGTGTTGTGTTACCTTTTTTAAAAAAATTTTAAGAGAAGGATCATTGACTTTGCCTTTTAGTCTTGTTCACTCTTTCATACTCGATTCTACAGATGAGTTTATTAAAAATGCATTCAAAGAAGAGGAGTTGTTTGAAATAATCAAAAAGGAGAACAGAGATGATCCATTGGAAATTGATGATGAGATCCTCGAGTACATAAACACATTTGCAAAGATATTTTATTTTGGATTGACACAATATCATTTATTTAGTATGATTTATAAAACAAATAGATATGTCAGAACTCTACAAAGGAAATACGAATAACGTTGAATACACTACATCGCCGACTTGGGAGTAATTACAATCCACAGAGTGATTTTGTTTACGAGCACATAAGAATGATGGTTTCTGATTGGTGAGTGAAAAAAAAAACAATAATTTATAGTACTTCGAAAATTTGAGCCTCTGCTTCCAATCCTTGATAGCCGGCTTTGGAGATTATGCGGTCAAAAAATCAATTTATTCTGCATTGAACTAATAAGTTATTATTGTACAGGGTCCGACTTCTTGAAATGAAGCCAAACCCATTAGTTTTGGACATGCCAAAGGCATAGTATCATATAAATGTTTGGAGGTCAATTGATATCGCATTTTCGGATACGGCATATACTTTTGTTGTTGGGTTTGTAAAAAATGTAGTATCTTTGGCTTTTGTTTGTGAATTATTTTTTGGGGGTTTTTTTTCTTGGGATATAGATGCGAGAAAGCTGGATTGGCTTCTTCTGAGAGAGAAAATTGTTACAGAACTTTGTCAAACACTGAACCAATCCAACGAAAAGCGATTGGGAAAAAAGGAGACGCATATATTAGAACTATTGGGTCGATATCAATGGACTGGGCAGCATTAGAAGTAGGTCATAAGTAGGAAGGTATGTCTGGTACTAAGTTAATAAAAGAACTAGGACTAGTCTTGCCAAGAACTTTAAAGGATATTTTAATTTATCTTGCCGGAAAGATTTATTTTGCTAAAGAAAAGCTGAGGAAGCTGAACATAGTTGGCTTCGCTCACGCAGGTTAGTATTTCTCAGGTGATTTCACTTGTATTTTTAATAACAGTATTATTTCTTTTTAAAGGTGCAGTGTTGATTAAAACAAATCTTGACTGCCTAGCTGGATACATTTGCAGATATATGAAAGGAGATCCACTAGAAGTTTATGCTGATGCTAATAACTTTAGTAAATCATTGGACGTGCTAATTGAGATAATATGTGGCAAGGTAAGTTATATTGGGCTCGTTTTGTTTAAGCTTTAAATTCCTTCTAATACTTAATTTTTTCTCTAATTCTTAATACTTAAGACGATGAAAGTTATAAATGATGGTATAGACAGTCAAAATAATATTGCAAGATGGAAACAACGAGTAAAGTTGGAGAGTTCAGATGTTTTTATAACAATACCTAATGTTCATCTATCACCGAAGAAAGCTCCGATGTGAGAATAAGGAGAAAAAAAAATTTATGTAATTCTCAAATCCGACCAACTTTAAAAGAAAACTGTATATCAAAAAGCAATTCAAAGAAGAAGACTAGCTCTCGTTCACACCCATTAAATACTTCTAAAAAGTAACTCGATAATTTACATCGATTAAAGTCAGAATATAAATGATTTGCATGTTTTAAAGAATAGACAAAGGATAAATGTTAGAATGTAGTAAGGTTTATGCTATTTTTTTTATCTTTTTAATAAAGCTTCAGTCATGTCATACCAGGTTTTAAATTTTGTAATTTACTGTGCTTATAATACATCAAATATAATACATATAATTATTGTTTTAGCAAAAATAATTTGTATTTCAAAATGGAACAGACAAGTAACTTTGAAAACCAATCAGATCAATGCATTGGAAGATAGTGTCTTGGCCTAAAAATACTTGTGTTATATATTGAAATACCTCCCAGTAGGGTTCTAACATCTGTTTCAGAAAACTGTATACCCGATTACCTGACCCGAAAAATTTACAACCGGGTCATATTTTTGACAAACTGATTTACTGCTATTATTATAACTTCTAAAACACCTGATAAAAAATTTGCCGGATAATTTTCAGCTAATCCGGTTAAATTATATATTTCGGGTATAATAATAAGATTCAGTAACAGACATATTAAATACATAATTTATTACAATAACAGATAAGACTAAATATTGCATGCATACTTGTAAGTTGTAAAATTCAATCCTATTTTTTGGCACAATCCATTTTTGCTTAAACAAAGCCTTTATCTATTTCTAATTATTTTTCAACAAAAATTCAGGTTTATAAAATTTCAATTTCTATTTTTTAGCAAGAGCTAATTATTTTTTGACGAAATTTGTTTTAAAAAAATTGTGTAAAATTTCAATTCCTATTCTTTGGCAAGATTCATTTTCGTTCAAACAAAACCTTTATTCATTTATAATTAATTTTGTTTCTTGTTGAAGACAAAAAATTCGTTTTTAAAAAATTAATCTAAATTTCGATTCCTATTCTTTGGCAAAATACATTTTCATTCAAACGAAAGCATTTATTTATTTCTAATTATTTTTTATTTCTTGTTGAAAACGAAAAATATATAAACAAATATAATCATATAAAATTTTTTATTTGGATTTTGTTTATTATAATTTTTTATACATTCTCGACAAAATTAATAATATATTGGTTGTTTGGAATAGTGTTCTAGCCCGGGTCGGGTAACCCGTACGGGTCACAGGTTAGAAATTGCTCTGACCTGGGTCAAATGGGTCAAGATTCGGGATAGTAAAAAAAATATTTTTTTATAGCTATTATCATGATTTCTGAAACATCTGATAAAAATTAGTTGAATGATTGTTTGGCCAATTCGGTTATTAATGATTTCAGCATAATCCGTTATATAATAAAAGCTATTTTTAATTATTATATAAAAATCATGTCAACGTTATTAAATTTTCGCTCTAACGCCTGTCCAACATGCTTGGTGTGTTTAGTTTACATGAAATTTATAGAAAAAACTGCTCGTATCAACCAATAAACCTTAGCAAGAAATCTAAAAAAAGACTGGATATAAATTGGACTTTTATAACAAATATATAACACGAACATGTGCCATTATTAAAATTTGATCATAAATTTGTCAAAAATGAATCTCAGGTTAGGATTCCTAGTATGAAGAATTATCAAAATAAAAAGTTTATATATTTATTTATATATTAAAAAATTTTAGTACTAACGATTAAAATTAGTTCAAAAATGGAATCCAAAATTAAATGAAAGTATCAAAGTAGATTTAAAAATTAAAAATTGTCTATCTGAAGCAGATGGTTTAGAAGACTTGCTGACTTCTAATTTTTTTTTAAAAAATTGCTAGTGAAGATGCTTTGTAAATATCATTTCTAGAAACATTCCAAATTTTTTAAAAATAATTTTTTTGTCTTCAACAAGAAATGAAAAATAATTAGAAATAAATAAATGCCATTGTTTGAACGAAAATAGATCTTTCCAAAGCAGTGTTGGCAAATGACAATATCATATTGTCATATGATATGTTTATATGATATATATAGAATCATATAAATCATATTCCATATAATATAAAATTATTATTATATGACATATAATATAATATTGTGATATGACAATTTATATATGTCATATGTGTTATATGTCATCATCTGCAATACTATTCTAAAGAATAGGAATTGAAATTTAATTGATAATCTACTAGTCAGCTGAAGAATGATTATAATAAAATGTAACTCAGATTACTATATAAATTTACTATAGTGCGAATCTGGCGATCGCCCAAGATAAACTTTTTTCATACTAAGTTAATCATCTTTCTTGCTTAAGAGACTTTTTAAAGCTTGTTAAAACGCATCTAATGGTAGTTAGAACGTCAATATCAGCCTGGTGGGTGCTGAGATATCTTTAAAAAACCTCTTTTTTACTATGTAAATTTCTTTGCAAATAATACTATTGTTTGACTCTTGTTTGCAAAGAAGTTTATATAGTAAAAGAGAGGCTTTTTAAAGATATCTCAGTACTCACCAGGCCGATTTTGACACTCTAATCACCATTAGATGTGTATTGACAAGCTTTACAAAAGTCTCTTAAGCAAGAAAGATGATTAACTTAGTATAAAAAAAAGTTTTAGATGCGTATAC